CTACCTACCACTAAGCACATTAAATTGTGTAACTGTGTCACTTGTTTGTCTCTAAATGGGGGCTCATGTGTCTGGCTTCCAGTTGCCCGGTCGCGAGTTTGCTGCAACGCCTCCAACTCTGCACCTTGAAGGTGTTTTTTGAGGTTACGGACGATGCTCGCAGAGCATCAACTTGTCTTGTGCTCCATTTGAATGGGCGCGATTTTCCACTTTCGCCAGCTGCCTTCTGACAAAATGGCCAAGACAGACTTTACGAATGGAGACATAACTCGGCTCTCGGCTGGATCCATTATTGCTTTCATACTTTCCTTTCTTGTGCTGGCAATGCCTGCGCTCGGCCCGACCCGGTTGGCGGCCAGACTTGAGGTTGAAGCCGGTGGACGCGAATGCCTGGCTCCATTTATGGACGAGGCTTAGAGACAGCCGGGCCAGGAATCGTCGCCGGCGCGACAGGAAACGACGCTCAAACAATCTGATTGAAAGTGGAGACATTTACTGTTTCACTCTTTCATTCCTCTCTGGCCCATTTGCGTCTGGCCCGGCTACTTGACGTCTTAATTGCAGGCCATCAAGCCGGTGTGTCTGTCTGTCTTCTCAGCCACGTTCATCTGCTTACCTCCACCTGACCACTTCCGGTACTAAACGCTTAAGGGCTGCCTCGGAGACAGGTCTTCCACAGTTGGTACAGTTGACGCAACGGCGTGTGTCTGAAGGCAGAGAGGCCCTGCGAACGCCGGAAGCAATGTTGAGCTTGCTTTCATTTCGGGCGAAAGTGTTGGGTGAAGAGATTCGAAGCTCGATCCCACACGAAGACGACGGCGGATTGCTTTTGACCCTTCTCAGATGAGGCAGGTCAAAGGAGGGATGAAAGCTGAACAACTTTTCAACGGAATCGAAGGAGATTGCCTCGGAAACAGCGTCAGCATGAATCTTCCAATCAAGAGGAATCCGCCTTCGTCTTCTGGTCGAACCGAGCTTCGAATCTCTTCACCCAACACTTCCACTCGAAATAAAAGTAGGCTCAACAGTTATGAAACAAGAGATTCCTCGAAACCCAACTTTTCTTCGTATATATTCCACAATCAGCAAACCTGCTAGTTTGAGACCATTCTATTTCATGTCCAGTTTCTGGCATGTGTTCGGCCACTTCTGACCGTTGGACCC